GCAGTTCGGGACGGCAATAATATAGTTTTGAGTAGCCCTTTTGCGATGAGCAGCCCCACAAGCTCCTCATCTATTCTATTAAGAAAAAGATGATCAGTGAAGAAGGGAAAATGACCAATCTACGGGACATTAAAAAAGGAATGAAGCATACCGCCGCCGGGAGGGAGGTTCACGGACGCCTCACTCGCGACCATCATTCTTAAAAACAGACCAGCCAGCCACACCGTAGGGCCGACTCCTCCACCGAACCCCCTCTCTTCCGGTGAGGAAACCGAGGATGAGGACCGGGAAGGGAAGTATCCTGTCCCGCTACCGTGGTCTGGTCTCCGCCTCCCCGCGTGCGCACGCGCACTGGTCCCATTTCCCACGCACCCGCCTCTACCTGAGCTGCACCCGCAACCAAAACCTACCTCTCCCCTCCGCCCCCGCCCCGCCTCTCCCCTCCGCCCCCGCCCCGCCCCGCTCTTCCGGCCGGTGTCCTTAGGCTGCCACCCCACCCCACCCCACCCCACCCCACCCCACCCCACCCGGCTTGGAGATCGGCGCACCTGGGCTGGGGGAGCTGGTGGGCACTCCCAGAGTCGGGGCATCACCGCCGCTTGGAGTTGCCACGGCGACGGGGAGGATCTCGATGGAGACAGCATCCCCGGGTCCCCGCAGGATACGGATTAACCCCTTCTCCTCCAGCTCCTCCACCTTCAGCTCTAGAGCCGAGGGCCTTGCGGAGGCCGGGGCAGGCCCTTTCTCGGGCTCGGGTGGACGCCGGGGGGCGCCCATGGCCGTGGAATCGCTGAAGCGCTCCTGCAAGCCCCAGGGGAGGGGTCAGTGCGCACCGGCAGGCCTGTCGCCGAGCCCCATCGCCTTCCCAGGGCGGAGGGAGGGATAGCGTCTAGAAGCCCCAACTGGGCTGTTCTGGGGAACCCAGACGCCCCGAGCCCGGCCCCGGCCCCAACCTCACCCGCATGGCCTCCAGCTCCTTCCGGGCCTGGCTGAGCTGCTTCTCCAGCTCGGCGATCTTAGCCATGGACTCGTTCTCCGCGTCCCGAAGCCGCTCTGTCAGCTGTGGCGGCGGCACATGGTGAGTTCCCACCCGCACCCAGGCACTGGCACCACCAGGCACTGGCACCACCGGCGAGGGGGCGGCATCAGGCCTGGCCGTCTGGAGAGCTGGGGGCGGCTTCCTGACGCACAGCCCAAGGTGTTGGGTGGGCCGAGCCTGGCACTTGAACCCAAGTGGGTGAGGCACTGAGGGCGCTAACGTTCTCTCGGAAGGGGAATCCAAGGCCCCACCAATGGGGGAGGTAGATGAAGAGGAAACCTAGCTGGGAGGGGCCTTAGGCTGGACGGTCCCCCCAAGTCAGGGCCTGGGGTCTGGGCACTGGGAGAGGAGGGGGCCTGTCGTCCCCAGGGGCCCCGCACAGTGTAGGAGCTCAGTGAACACTCACTGAGAAAGACACCCAGAAAGGATTGAGGATGTAGGTTCAGGTAAAACGCAGGAGCCAGGCAGCCATGCCCAATTCACTCCTAGAACCAGTGTTAAGCCCAGCGCCTGAGGCCGGTGTGGGGACCTGTGGGCCTATGTTCGGGGCCAAGTTCAGGAGCGGCTCTCACCAGGGTCACCTGCTCCTGCAGCTCCTCCATGTGCTCCAGCACAGCGTTCTTGGTCTCCGTGTCCTCCAGCAGCACGCCCACGTCAAACACATTGTCCAGGTACGCCTGGATCTGCACCTGCAGCTTGTCGCTCTCTGTGACCCGAAGCTTCTGTCTCCCAGAGGGAAAGGTGGGTGAGGCCTGGTGTGAGGGGGTCTTTCCAACACCACCCCATCCCCACCAGAGCCCAGAGGAAGGGGCCGGAGCCCTAGCCTGCTTTTTCCCCTTGATTCTTTTTTCTTTTGAGTTTTTGTTTGTTTGTTTGTTTTTAGATAGAAAGAAGGGGAGATAGAAACATCGATAAGAGAGAAACATCATTGAGCAGCTGCCTCCTGCATGCCCCCCATTGGGGATCAAGCCTACAACCCCAGCATGTGCCCTGACCGGGAATCAAACTGGTGACCTCTTGGTTCATGAGTCGATGCTCAACCACTGAGCCACACTGGCCGGGCTCCTTTATTCTTTATGGAGATATAATTCACTATTTTAAACTGTACAGCTCAGGAGTTCTTAGTATAGTCACAAGGTTGTGCAACCATTATTGCTATCTAATTCCAGAACCCTGTCCCCATTAGCAGCCACTCCCCATTCTCTCCTCCCCCGGCCCCTGCCAACCACCAATCCACTTTCTATCCCTATGGACTTACCTATTCTGGACATTTTCTATAAAAGCATCATACATTATGTGGTGCTTTGTGTCTGACTTCTTTCACTTATCATAATGTTTTCAAGGCTCTGTGTTGTAGCATGGATCAGTATTTCATTCCTTTTGTGGCTGAATAATATTCCCTTGTGTAGAAATAGCACCCTAGCCTGCTGCTAGTCGTGGCTTAATCAATCCGATCCCAAAGGCCCTCCCCCACGAAGTCTCCCAAGGAATTCGAGAAGAAAACTGCAGCTTCTCTGCTCAGGCCAGGAAGCACCAAGCCCCCTGTCCGCCTTCCCCAGGGAAAGGAGCTGCCATGGCCGGCCCATCCGGTGTGCGCCAGCTCTCCCCTTGGCCCAGTCTCTCTGCCCTCCCCATAGTGTGCTCCGGGAGCCAGACCCAGGGCCACCTAAAGCCCGTTCTCGTGCCCGGCTCCATGGACTGGGTGTCTATTATGTGGCAGACGCCATCCTATGGAGAGCCATTATTATCGCTAAGATTCTCCTATTTTACAGATGGGAAAACTGAGACTCAGAGAGAAGAGACCTCTCCAAGGTCACATTGGCTAGGAAGTGACAGAGCCAGGATTTGAACCCAAGCCTGCCTGACCCCAACACCCATGCTGCCAACCACTGAGCCATACTCCGGGCAAACGGTTAAGTCCGGGGAGAGTGCAGGGCTCACCTCCAAGTACAGGTCCAGGCCCAGGTGGGTGAACTCATATTGCAGGAAGACTCGGAAGTTCATGTTCTCCACTGAGTGCACCACGATGTTGATGAATTGCATGCAGGCCACCTGGGGGGTGGGGGACATGAGCAGGTCTGTGATCCTCTGGGTGAGGGGTTCTCAGTGCCTTCTGCCCCCCACATACTCCCCAAGTCTGCCTCCCTCATTTCTCACTCCACTAACCCAGCTTTGTCCCTACCCATATTTCTCTCCCATGTCCCCTCCCTCCTGCCTCCCCCTCTCAAACATCTAACCCTCCCCCACCCCCACCCCAACCATCAATCCTCATACTTTGCAGGGGCAGACACCCAGGCCCCTGGCCACACCTTGCATCTGAGAGTGGCCGAGCCCCAGCTGGGCCCCTGAGCTCACCATGAAGTCGATGTTGCTGTCTTCATTCCGGAAGTATTCCATCAGCTTTTCAAAGCGGTGCTGCTCCCCACACACCTGGGTGGGGACAATGGCTGTCACTGAGGGCCCAGGGCTACACCTCCTAAGCCATCTTCCAGCTGCTACAGGCTCCTCTCAAGTTAAATCTCAGTCAGGCCATGATTCTCTTCTGCTCAAAACCTCCCCTCCCCCTCGATCTCTCATAACCCCCTCACTCAGGCCGCACTGGCATCCTGGCACCTCCCCACCTCAGGGCATTTGCACTTCCTGATCCATCTGCCTGGTGTGCTCTTACCTGAGAGAGCCGCCACGCCAAGTCCCTCACTTCCCTCGCAGCTCTGATCAAATCCCACCTTCTCAGGAGGCCTCCCTGACCACCCTGCAACCAGCTCCCGCAACCCCTACAGCACCCCTCACTTTTCCCCCATAGCACCTAGCATTTTCTAAAACACTATATAATTTGCGTGTTTATTCTGTTGTTTATTATCTGCCTTTCCCTGCCGTATTTCTTTTGTGAAATGATCACTAATACATCTCGAGTGCCCACTCTGTGTCTGACACATAGTAGGTGCTCAATAAATATTCCTTAAAGGTATGAATGCCATGTGCTGACTTCTGCATCGTATTCTCAAGCATTCACTTCTCATGAGCCAGTTAACCAGAGTCAGCAACTCTGGATCAAGTCCAACTTGGATATGGCAAGGCTGGGGGTCAGAGGGTCAGCCGATGCTCATAGCTGTCCCTGTCACCCCAGGCAGTGCCCCTACGTGACTCTACACCTTCTCTTCAGAGCTTCCCCACCCCAGATGGTCCCCACCCTGTGTTCCCCAAACGTCCACCTCACATCCCCAACTTCCCCCAGCAGAGGCCACAACTGCCAGCAGGGCTCTAAGAGGACAAGTGCACCTTTGGAGGGGGGGACCTCCAGTACCTCCTTGAAGTTGTCAAAGGCTGCAAGGATGATGTCGTGTCCTCCCCGCACCAGGCACACGGCCGCCAGCAGCTCCAGCACCAGAGCCTTGGTTCTGGGGAGAGAAGTCAGGTTGACCCTCAAGAACAGCAGGCCCAACGCAAAGGTGGACAGGGGCCTGGCTCATGACAGACAGGCAAGCTGGTGAGGGGGGTGGAATGAGCCGGAGCCGTAGTCCTGAGCATGGGGGGACAGAGTAGGCAAGCAGTTAAGTAGCAGGAGAATCTAGATAGAGAAAGGCTAGGGGCCTGGACCTCACCTGGGGTTCTTGTTGTTGAGGCTCAGAGCAATCTCATTGACACAGGCTGGGTGGCTCATGACGAGGCTGAAGCCAGACTGGGGAGAGGGAAGAGGTCAGCTCCTCCAGGCAGGCCCCCAGGACTGCCAGCACTTCTGGGATCGCCAGGGCCACACCACTGCCCTTGCGCTTAGGACGTTCTTTATATCTACCCACAGCCTCTTCGGAGGCAGCCAAAGCCTGGTCCCTCTTTTTAAATACCTTTGTTCAAAAGTCAGTGTCAGGACTCAGCACCTTGGACAGGGAGTCCTCAAAGGCCGGCTTCACTTATCACTCCTCCCAATGAAATAACCCAGAGCTGCTCTCCCCATGGGCCAGGTGACCAGCCTTTCTTGGTGGGTATGCCTAAGTCCCCACGTGGGACATACCCATGCCCGGGTCCTCTAGGGGACCTGGCCAGGAAGGGGCAGAAGATGGTCGGCCTCAAGACCCTGAGCCAACAGCCCGGATCCCCAGGTCCTCCAGTGGAGGACAGGGCGGGGGCACAGTCGGTCCCAGCACCTCAGCGGCTTAGGCAGCCCCTGGTAAGGACTGGCCTGGCTGACCAACCTGGTAGTTCATGATGGCACGCAAGCACATAATGCAGACGTGGACGTCATCCTTCTGGCTGACGATGCGCGAGTTTCGCAGGGTCTTCCTGCTGTGGGCTGGGGTCAGCCTGGGCGGGGTGGGGAGGAGGCAGCAGGGGTCAGAGTCCCAAACCCAGCTTCCTGGCCAAACCCCCAACACTCAGATGGCCTCTGGGGTCAGAGGGGGGCACATCTACCCAACCAAGAGGGTGGCTGAGGACAGGAAGTTCCCCTCAGTCCCTAGGCCTGGGGCCTGACATGCTGGGAGGATGTGGAGGAGGGTGGGTCAGGAAAACAAAGACCCTTAACAGAAACTTGGCATTAAGAAGGGTCACTGTGACCCAGCCAGTGTGACTCAGTGGTTGAGCATCGACCTAGGAGCCAGGAGGTCAAGGTTCGATTCCCGGGCAGGGCACATGCCCGGGTTGTGGGCTTGATCCCCAGTAGGGGCTGTGCAGGAGGCAGCTGATCAATGATTCTCTCTCATCATTGATGTTTCCATCTATCTTCCTCTCTCTTCCTCTCTGAAATCAATAAAAAAAAACACACACGTATTTTTAAGAAGAAGAAGAAAAAAAGAAGGGTTACTGTGTTGTGGAGATGGAGAGCCTATGAGAAAAGACAGTCAAAGCTTGGAAACCGCCATGCAAACGCTCTCCACAAGGGGGCGCTTCCGGCCACATGGGCTTATCTTCCACATGGAGTGGCGGCCTCTGAATTCAGACTGCCTCGTCTCAAACCCCAGTTCACCACTCACTGTGCAAGTTACTCAGTCTCCCTGTGCCTCCGTTTCCTCATTTGTAAAACAGGAATGATAATAACAGCACCTCTCTGATGGGGTTGTTGGGACTATGACATGAGCTCAGAACAGTGCCTGGCACAGAGTAAATGCTGCTAGTATATGAGTGTGCTTAGTCACTCTTTGCTAAAAAGCGTGATTGTTTTCGTTGTTGCAGATCTCGCCAATGGTGACTTCCACATCAGCGCTTCTTGACGATCCTGTCACATGTCCAGCAACACCGTGAGGCCCCACCTTGCCCTCTGCCTGCCGCATTGCCCTGCGCTCATCATTGCAAAACTATGCCTCTTGCTCATGCTGTGCCTTCTGCCTGAAATGCCGTTCCCTGTCCCCATCACTGCCCGTAAAGCCCATACCATCGTCAGGCACAGTTCCCGTGCCACCTCTTCCGGGAAGCCTTCCTGATGCCCCAGTGGCCGCCTCCCTTCTCAGAGCTCACAGTCACACCTCCATGACAGCCTGTCACGCACTGTCCCCTACCAGACCAAGGACTCCCCAGGGCAGGGTACCTGTCTCCTGAGCACCTGCTGCCATGACTGATACATAGGAAAGGCCAAAAAACACTGGTTCAATGAATGAATGAATGAAGCATGTTGTGAGCTTTTGGGTCTTAACATGAAGTTAGTCCTCTTCCTACCCAAAGTAGGAAGAGAGGAAGGTGGGCATCCTCATGAGGCTCCAGGGCCATCTTCTTCCCTCGCCCCACCCCCCAGCAGGATGCCCTAAGTTAGAGTGGGGTGACCTATCCACAGCAGCTGAACCCAGGGGCATCAGTTGAACGCCTCACCCCACCCACCACCACCCGGGAGACCACCAGGCATGCACCTGCCCCCAGGCAACTACATACCGGGGAGAAGGGGGGCACCTGGAGGCCGCATGGAAGAAAACAGGGGGTTAGATGGATACAAGAGGGGTCCCATTCACCCAGAAACCGCCTCCTTATTCCAGACCCACCCAGATGCCCATCCCTGCCCCGAGCTCTGTTTGAGGCCCTCACTCTGACCCCTAATGCCAGGCTACCCCTCCCACCATCCCCGATGTCCCAGAGTGAGGCTGGCTGTCTGCAGAGATCTAGGGGTGAATTCTCCTTTCTCCCCATCACCCCGCCAGGGGGCCCACGTACTTGACGGTCAGGTGGCGACTCCTGGGCTGTGGCACCGAGGAGGCGGGTGGGCCCTTGCTGAGGTCTTCCACTGACTGCTCCAGGGGCTTGCTCTTCTCCGAGCTTGGGGCCCCATTGTCTGTGCTCTCCATGTCATACCTGAGGGTCAGAGTGGGGTTGGAGGCCAACACTGCAGGGGAACTTAAGCGAAGACTGGGGGGAAGTGAGGGGAGAGACAGTCCTGCAGGAGAGACGAGTGGGCAGGAGGAAGCTGTGTTCTTGGCACTGTGTTGGGTTTAGTAGGGGGAGAGGGAATAGTGGAACAGAAGAGGAAGACACCAGGTCCCAGCTGGGCTCCCCAAGATACATCCCGCCCCGTCCATGGCAGGCCTTCAGGAAGAGGCATGGCTCAAGGCCAGTGCAGGGTCCAGGGTAGCTAGGGCTGCACGGGGTGGAGTGACCAGGGGAGCGGCAAGGTACAGAAAGGCGCGGATCAGCACTCAGGAGCAGCACGCGGGCAAGGGCAGGGGCTTACGTGACAGAGCACTGGGCAAAGGCCAGGTAATCGAGGAGCACATCCAGGCCGCGGTTCTCCTCGTTGAGGAACTCCTGCACCCACCTGCAGACACAGGCTCCTTCAGCACCGGCAGGAAGGTCCTGCCCAGGGTGGGCCCACAGGACAGGCACGGGCCCCTGGGGCGCACTTTCCCCAGGGATGCTCGGGGGCTCAGGCAGGACCCACGGCCTGGCCATGCCTCAAGGGGTGTGGGTAGAGGAGGCAGAGAAGCTGTCCTGGAGACCTACCCCGGAGGTGGCCCACAGGGGAGAGGAGGGGTAGGAGGGGACTCAGCAAGGGAAGCCCCGGGGGCTGCCTGGAGGCAGAGCTCTTCCGGGCCCTCCCGAGGAAAGCTGAGCCCTGGCTCACCCGATGTGGTTTGTCCTCAGGGAGATCTCCAGCTCCCGCAGCACCTGAGTGGACTCCTGGACTCGCCTCTTAAACTGGGGGCCAAGAACAGGGGAGTCTAGTGGGTGGAGCCCCGCCTCCCACAGGCCCACCAAGCCCTGCGGCAGCAGCCAGCCCTTCCCCCATTACTGGCCTTTCACGTTCAGCCGCCCCCACCACCTCCTCACACCTGCCCCAGAATAAGCATTCTCAGGCTACACAAACTCCCCCATGCACAGACACGCAGGGTGCACACACAGACATACAGCACACACACCCGGGACCACAGGGCACACACACATATTCAAACACGAATACCCCAGGTACACACACACATGCACATCCAGACACAAATGTAAGGTACCTACACATCTACACACAGACACGTGGGGTACACACACACCCTGTACATGGACTCAAAGATACACATAGCCCGGCCGGTGTGGCTCAGTGGTTGAGCGTTGACCTATAAACCAGGAGGTCACGGTTCGATTCCAGGTCAGGGCACATGCCTGAGTTGCAGGCTCCATCCCCGGTGGGGGGTGTGCAGGAGGCAGCCGATCAATGATCTCTCATCATTGATATTTCTATCTCTCTCTCCCTCTCCCTTCCTCTCTGGAATCAATAAAATATATATATATATATATATTTTAAAAGGTACACACATATCCATATGTGAATACAAAAGTACACACATGCACATTCATGCACAGACACACGGGGCGCACACACCTATACAAGTACACACGCGTGTGCAGTGTAAGCACACACAGGATATGCAGAGGAACCTGTGCAAGTGCCTGCCCAGGGCACTCAGTCCCTGTGAACACACACTCACACATGCACCCACACAACCACAGGCAAGTTTATACACACAGTTACTCCAGCTGCCCAGAGCTTAGAAGTGCAGGGGGAAAGGAACAGAGAAAAAGGGGGAGACATGTACCCCCAGGTTGGACATCCAATCCGATGCTACCTTTCGGCTGACCCCACCAGTTTCCAGGTAGCTCTTCAGCTTCTGGATATAGGCTGTGGGGGGGTTCTTGACTTGAAACCGCTCCTGGGGAGATGGAATGGGGTGTACAGGAACCAGCCAGGGCAAATGACCAGCTTTGTCCCAACATCCCATTCTCAGCTTTGACCCCACGTTCCTGGGAAATACCAAAGCCCTAACCAAACCATCAGCCAGGCCACTTCCAAAGACCCCAGGCCTGGGCCCAGCCTTTCCTTCCCACTGTGGCTCTAGCACAGTCTTGGGTGGAGTTTGGAGGGGTCAGTCCTGCCATACACCCCACCTGGGAGGAGGGGACTCAGACCCCCCAGTAGGGGGCACCCTCCCAGCTGGGTATGCTGGGAAGAAAACACTGGAGGGACCTTATGAACAGGCCCGGGTCCTCCGCAGGCTGGGGGCCCCTTCCCCAGGACACTACCCGAGCTGTCCAATCACCTGGGAGGTTAGGAACTCCTGTGTGTGCCCATCTCCTGGGCTCCTGACTCCCCGCCCCACCCAGCGCTCCAGGAGCCACTCCCACAAAGAGGTGGTGGCCTATCAAAGGCTCCTACCAGAGGAGCTCCCATCCTTCCCACCCCGGGCCCCTCACACCTGCCCAGCCCTCCACCTTCCACCTCTCCCAGGCTTTTGAGCCCAACCTGAGAAGCCAGGCCCAGTGGCAGGGACCCCCTACTACAGCCTCAGAGCCTCTGGTGGTAGCTCTCCCCCCCCTCCCCAAGGCCTCGCCCTTTCCCCACCCCCAACCCCAGACTCCAGCCCTGCCAGCTCCTCCCCTCCATTAGCAGCCGCAGAAGGCCTAGCCCTGGCTCCCAGGGGAGACTCCCTGCTCCCCTCTCCCCACCCTCAGCCACCGGGCCACAGGCCCGCCTCCCTGTTCACTAAAATCACTGCAGCCACAAGGCCCCGCCCTGTCCCGGCAGTGGGAGGGGTCCTCCGGCTACCATGGACAGCAGCCCTAGAAGCTGGCAGGGCCAGGGCAGCCAGTGAGCCTTGAAGGTGGCAGCCCAGGCTCCTGACTGCGCAAACCAAACCGAGGCAGGGGTTCTAGTCCCTGCTCCACCACTTAGCAACCGGTGGGCTTGGGGAGCTGCGTGGTGGACGGCAGCTCCTCCGGACCCAAGGTTAAAGGAGGACAGGGACCCTGCCCACTTCCCCTGGGGTCAGGCAAAGATGTCCAACCCCGGGGGATTCCCTTTCTTCCCCCGCCGGGAGCTGGAGGGTGGACAGAGGCTGCTCCAGGAAGCTGAGCGGGAGGATGGTGACACAGCCCCAGCTGAACCGGCTAGCTCATGGACTAGCCCCCGCCAGCTCTTCAGAGGACAGACCCAGCCCTGCTCATGACTCATGGGTCTCCAGAGAGGCCCATGTCCAAGAGAGGGCGATTCCGGGGCCCTGCAGCTGCCGCCAGCACCCCAGCGCCTCCCCGCATGCTGCCCTGGCCTCTGGGTAGGGTCTTGGCCCTTTGGGCAGCATGGCAGTGCCTCCTCTCCAGCCAGCCCCAGCCCGGCCGGGGCAGGGCATCCAGTGGCAGAAGGGTCCTGGTACCCACCTGGTCACAGATGAGCTCCCACTTCTTCTCGTTGTCATACTGGCTCAGCAGCTGGACCTTGTCCGGGGGCAAGTTCATGCAGTTCTGGGAGGGGGAGGACAAGACAAAGACCCTGAGCCTGGGGCCCAGCAGGGAGGGAGGGGGCACGGGCATTTTCAGGGAACCCACTAGGGACCAGCTCCCTAGAGGTCTGTCATACACATGAATCCCTGTCACACTCACCTCGGGAGACAAGTAACATTAGCCAATGAGGAAACTGAGGCACCGAGGTGGAGCGCCCTGCCCTAGGCCCAACAGCTAGAAAGTGACATTGAGATTTGGATAGGAGTCGGCCTGACCCTGGGCCTGAGCTCTGTCACCCCACACCAACTCCCTGGCACACCTGGCATGCAGGCAGGAGTGTAGGTTCTCAGCCTAACTTCCTGGGACCTCAAACACCTCTGGGCTCATCTCCCCATCTATACTAATAAAAGGGTAATATGCTAATTAGACCGGACGTCTTCTGGACAAAGCCACGGTGGCAGGGGCTGAGGCAGAGGCAGTTGGGGGTGATCAGGCTGGCAGGGGAGGGCAGTTAGGGGCAATCAGGCAGGCAGGCAGGCAAGTGGTTAGGAGCCAGTGGTCCCGGATTTCGAGAGGGATGTCTGACTGCTGGTTTAGGCCCGATAAACCGGCAGTCAGACAGCCCCCAAGGGGTCCCAGATTGGAGAGGGTGAAGGCCGGGCTGAGGGATACCCCCCTCCCGTGCACAAATTGTGTGCACCAGGCCTCTAGTGTGCAATAAGAAGGTATCATCCCTTCTCCATTGGGGCGAGAAGCTAACAGGAGAGCCATCTACAGACAGGCTCCAGTGTGGCCACACACCACCAGACACCACATGCCCAGCCCAGGGCACCAGTGTCTCACAAACACCAGAAAAACCTCTTTGTTGATCCTCACCTGAGCATATTTTTCCAGTGATTTTTAGAGAGAGTGGAAGGGAGGGGGAGAGACAGAGAGCTAGAAACATCAATGTGAGAGAGACACATCGATTGGTTGCCTCCCACACGTGCCCCAACCAGGGCCGGGGATCGAGCCTGCAACCGAGGTACATGCCCTTGACCCTTGCCCAGAATCGAACCCGGGACCTTTCAGTCCAAGGGCCAACACTCTATCCACTGAGCCGAATCGGCTAGGGCCGTGGTCGGCAAACTGCGGCTTTCGAGCCACATGCGGCTCTTTGGCCCCTTGAGTGTGGCTCTTCCTAAGCCTTAGGAGTACCCTAATTAAGTTAATAACAATGTACCTACCTATATCATTTAAGTTTAAAAGATTTGGCTCTCAAAGAAATTTCAATCGTTGTACTGTTGACATTTGGCTCTGTTGACTAATGAGTTTGCGGACCACTGGGCTAGGGCAACACCAAAAAATCTTGCAATGATGCAGACAGCAGCCTTCTTCCCCATCCCTCTCCAGCCCCTCCCACCTCGTCACTTCTGGAAAGAAGGAGATGGAGACAGGCTGAGGGAGATGAGGTCAGAAGGTCAGGGAATTCCAAGCAGGTGCATCATGGCTTCGGGGGTGGGAGGGGGGATTCCACGGGAAGGTCACCCAGCCACAGGACCTGGGGAGCGCAGACAGCATGCTGGGTCTGTGGCCCAGGCTGGGTCTGTGGTACCGGTGGCCCAGGCTGGGACTCCCCTCGGGAGCTAAGGAAACCTCAGCAGGGCTCTGCCTGGGTCCTCATGGGTGTGGTGTCCCTGTCGAGCCCCTCCCCCACAGGGCAGGCATACGGTCCTGCTGGGGCTGTGGAGTCACCGGGTGTTGCCAGCACTCAGGGCTCCTGGACCCCCAAGACTTAGCAGGTCTTCCTAATAGACCCAGAAGACGATGCCAATTCACCCCAATGCAGTAAACCTCAGGTTTATTGAGTGTCTACTATGTGTCAGCCCCCAGGAAACAGTTCTTGCCCCCCAGGAGCTCCAAGTCTCCTGGGGCGATATGAGAGGAAGCCCGGTCCCCAGCTCACGTCGCCCTGACGCGCAGACGGGAGGCCACAGCTGGAACTGAGAGGGGCCACACCCACCGAGGCCCACAGCCAGCTTCCTCTCTGGGGTGCTGGGCCTAGCGCTAGGGCTCTGCCCAGACCTCATCCCCAAAATCACAGCCCTGGGTCAGCCCCAGACCACAGGAAGCTGCGCGCTCAGCCTCCATTGCCCAAGCTTTCTGTCTGGGCCCCGAGGTGAAAGGTGAAACTGCCCTTCCAGCAGCCCCCCAGGCCGGCTGGGCGTGGGGATGCGTCACTCCTCACCCTGCTTGTGAAAGGAGCCCCGACTGGGGAAACTGCTACTGCCTCAGCCACTACCTCCTCCAACCCAACCAGGGCCACGGCCAGAGCAGCTCCTGCCCTTGGGGAGGGTTCTACTGGGCCAGGGAGGCCTCCCTGCTCTCTCTCTCTCTCTCTCTCTCTCTCTCTCTCTCTCTCTCATCCATCCCCACCCCACAGAGACCCAGGGCGGGGCAGGGCTAAAGTGATGGGGCAAGGCTGAGGGGAAGGAAGAAGCAGTGAGGGAGGGAGGACAGGCAATAACAAGGAAACCGGAGCAGAACCAGAGGGGAGGGAGGTGGGGGGGTGGGTGAGGGGCAGCTGAGCCTTAGGCAGTGGTTCTCAACCTTCTGGCCCTTTAAATACAGTTCCTCATGTTGTGACCCAACCATAAAATTATTTTCGTTGCGACTTCATAACAGTAATGTTGCTACTGTTATGAATCGTCATGTAAATATCTGATATGCAGGATGGTCTTAGGCGAAGGGGTCGCGACCCACAGGTTGAGAACCGCTGCGGCTTGGAGGGAAGAGCCATTTCCCAACATGGGTCTTTCCGGGCCCTCACCCAACCCGGGACCTGTTTGGGGCCTGGAATGGTCCCAGCGGCACCAACCATTGTGGGGGCCGGCTTTGCCTGAAAGCTTACGGAGCCGGGAGCTGGGCACTGCTCTGAGCCTTGCACGCAGGTGACCACTGTCCACTCTCACACCATCACTGGCACCATGATTAGCCCATCTCACAGGTGCCAGCACGGATTAGGGACCGGCCCCAGGTTACAAAGCCAGTAAGAGGGGAGCTGGGTGGGCTTTGAGCCCAGAGCTAACTCTGCTCCAGAGCCCTGGCCCGTCCCCCGGGACAGCACCATGGTAATTAGTGGGGAGGGGAGGCCTCTGCTGGAGCCGGCACACCTGTCCTGACCCAGGGCCTCGGCCCACCCTCTCCCCTCTGCCCCTTCCCCACCTGGCCCCCCTCAGGCCCGCAGGCCCACATGCCAGCCTGCCAGACGGGCTAAATTTAGGCTCCGAGATCAGAAATAGCTCTGACAGCGCTGAGCACTAATTAGCAGCTGTTCCTTGGCCATGCCCACCGAGGAGATGGGCACCCTAGGGAGCGGGAGAGGGGCCAGAGGACGCCACTCACTCTGAGTGGGGTGAGGCCACCCTGAAAAGTAAGAACAGGCCCCCAGACCCAGGGCCCTCAGCAGGGAGGCAGCACGATGGGGCTGAGCCTGGGAGACACGTAGGAATCCGGCTGACAGAGCTCCCATGGACCAGGAAAGGACAGGGAAATCCAGCGGTGTGTGACTTGCCTCCTGGGGTGGGGGCTGCTCTGGGCCCACCAGCCCTATCACTTCTTTGCTCCTTGAGCCTCAATTTCCTTCTCCATAAAATGGGCACACTTGCCTGGCCCGTGTGGCTCAGTGGTTGAGCATCGACCTATGAACCAGGAGGTCACGGTTCGATTCCCAGTCAGGGCACATCCCTGGGTTTCAGGCTGCGTCCCCAGTGTGGGGCGTGCAGGAGGCAGCCAATCGATGATTCTCTCTCATCGTTGATGTTTCTCTCTCTCTCTCTCTCCCTCTCTCTTCCTGTCTGAAATCAATAAAATATATTTTAAAAATAAATAAATAAATAATACAATGGGCACACTTCCCTCCTGCCTCAGACCCACAGAGCTCCTAGGAACCCCCGTTCGAAGCTGTGTTCTGGTGGCAGTAAGACTCTTCAGTCATGCACCACAATGAAGAGGCACTTCGGGGGGTGGGGAAGTGCGTCTCTGATCCCAAGGTGAGGGGTCGTGTGGTGAGAAGTTAGTGAAAACATCCAGATAAAACAAACCTGCCTCCAAGGCTTGGCCAAAAATGACCTGGCCCTTCAGCACCCTCCCCCGCTCCCTGCACGCTTTGGGTCAGAGGGAGGAGGAGGTAGGCTTCATCTCCTGGGGTGTAGCCAAGAAAAGGAGCTGATTTCCCAATGTTTCTTTCTTTCTTTTTTATCCCAATATTTCTATTAGAATGTGTGGAGATCAGCCCGACCTGCATGGCTCAGTGATTGAGCATCAGCCTATGAACTAGGAGGTCACAGTTCGATTCCTGGTCAGGGCACATGCCTGGGTTGTGGGCTTGATCCCCAGTGTGGGGTGTGCAGGAGGCAGCCAATCAATGATTCTCTCTCATCATTGATGTTTCTGTCTCTCTCCCCTCCTTGCCTTTCTGAAATCCATAAAAATATTTAAAAAAAAAAAAAGGTGTGGAGATCAGTCTCCTTCCCTACTCCTACCTCTCTGAGTGCCAGAGGGTCCTCCAGCCTTGCTCCCCCAGGACCAGGCCCTGGCAGGCCTTTACGACGCCCCCAGTGCTGACGTCAGGAGGCGTCCCTGGAGACTGAGGGGCTCCGGCTACATCTGGACACGGCCACACCCTCCAGTTTCACTTTCATTTGAGCTGAGACTAATTCCAAGCCACCTGCCCACCCTCTCCCCTTGGAGCCCCAGGATACCCTTGAACTTGGGCACCAACCCCAGTCTCAGACCAGCCCTGCAGGGGTTCCACAGCCTAATGAGCCTAGAAGTGGCCCTGTCCCCCAGCCCCCACGTCTCCATCTATCTCCCCCACCCACCTCTATCTGGCCTCAACCTTGGTTTTAGAGCTCTCAGCATATCTCCAAAAACAATCAATTTTATCCACTTAAAAAAATTCCAACATCTAGATTTTCTGGGGCTCTTAGGGCCAGCAATCCAGGCTTATAGGAGAGGGTTGTGGGGTAACCCAAGCCTAG